AGCAGTTCTAACTCCTGGCACTGCCAGAAAAAACTACAATACATGCACACCACAGGGGCTGGTCACTTTAGCCCCTTCCCCTGCTGTTAAAGTGGCAGTACCTTCTGAAATACAGGTACCTTCTGAATACAGGTACCTTCTGAATACAGGCAGTACCTCCTGAAAATCTCTAAAAAAAATAAAATAAAATAAAAAAAAAAAAATCAAAAAATCCACAGATTAACTTCAATTTAGCTAGTTGAAATCAACTACAAATAGCTATACTTAAGCAAAAGGAGTTAACCTTGTATAGACTGGTTAAATCTGACCTAGTAACTTAGCTGTTCTCAAATTCTTTCAGAATCTAGGAATGCCCCTTGGAAAGGACGAGATGCTACTGACTTGCCAAATCAAACAATTCACTAGTTCAGAAAATAATTTCTTGTCTTTAAGAAATTATCATCAGCATCTCCATTTGTCTGATCACCACTTCCAGAATTCAATTAGCTCCCTCACTGACCAGTGTGAGCTAGTTCAAATCTGCATGGAAGACCGCCAAGAACTCCTAGATCAGAGGTTCTCAATCCCCTTACACTCCAGGCACCTCTCGGAAAATGCCAGATCTGTTTTCACCAGTTTTTTGACAACAGAAAAAACAGTAACGCAATTCTTCTGTTGCAATGAACTCAAAGACCCCACAACAGGTCAGTATGGTTAAGAATCACTGTCCTAGATGCTAAAGTATGTAGCATTAGATATTCAAGCAGAGTTCCACTCAAAGAACCAAACAACCAGTGCAGACTTAGGAAGTGTTAGGCTACTAACATACCAACTTATGGATATAAGCTAATTTTCATCATTTGCGATCATTAAAAGATCCCAAAGCACTCTCTCTCAGATTAAGGCAAGAGACGCATAAATAGATTAACCCCAGAGCAAGACAACATGCCCCAATTATCAGTTGCAAACATGATAATCCGCAAAAGCAGTAACTCCAGCTCAACTATGGCAAGTTTACGAATAGCAATATTCTCAACGCAGCCTGCTCAGTTCCGATGCTTTCAAATATGCAGCCTATTTGCATACTGCTTCTACGATACAATTTGCTTCAATTCTCCATTTATGCACCTATAGCCCAAGCATTATTTACCGCTATACCCATGTCAAATTTCAATTCAGTTACATTTGTCTCCCTGATTTCCCCCAGCAATTTCAATAAAGATTAATCTCCAATTCTTGTTTCTATTTGTGATAATTTTTGCAGTCTTTGAGTTCTCCTTGGCCTGATGAAGGGTGTTTGGGCCTGAAAGCTTGCAAATATTTAAAAAAGATTATAGAACTATCTAGTTGGTCTAATAAAAGATATCATCTCGATCACAAGAGTTCTATCTGTTCTATACTGTTGCACAAGGTCGTTGTTTGCTGTTGGGAAAGTTACAACAAAACAAAAAGCTATCCACACTGACACCAAGTAAAAACTCAATACTCAGGAAACACAAAAATGCTGCTCCTAATGCTATTATGTCATGGGCAACACATCAAAGGCTTTTTATTATTCTGCCGTTAAAAGCAACTGGAGAAGAATGAATGATTCATGTCCTTTGTTGAATTTTTTTCCTCTGCCTCTAATACTTGATGTTCATTGTGGTAAACATTAAACGCTCTGGACAACCGTTGCCTAATTTACACCTGCGCATCTGATCATTCTGTCCTAATTGCAGGAATCTGCATTTGTTCTTACTGAATTTCACTTTGTATATTACCGACCACTTCTCCAGTTTATCCACATCACTGTGAATCCTAACTCCAATGTCTCCCTACTCCACCCAGCTTGGTGGTCTTCTGCAGCTCTGTTAAGTATGCACTCAACACTCAATTTCATTCTCCATATCATTAACACAGATACTACTAAAACAGCACCAGACCCAAGACAGACCCCTGGGAAACCTCACTCAGTACTTACTCCCAATTAGACACTGACCCATTGATAAGACAAGCAAATGTTTTCCTAAAGTCAAGGACAACCACTGTTCTCTCATCTTCAAAACTCGTCATCTTGTAGAAGGAAATCAGGGTGAACAAGAGTGACTTGCTCTAGACAAATCCATGTTGGTGATTTCTGATTACCTCTAAATACTTAGAAACAGTTTCCTTGATGATCTGCTCCATGATCTTAACTTCCTTGCCAGGGCAAAGGGAATGTCAGCCAAAAATTGACAAATGTCAGTTAAACAAATATTCTTTACATTAAGTGAGGAGTTGGGTGATTTGCTCTACTGGCACAACCTTAGGTAGTTGATAACTACACATTTTTGGTGTAATATAGATTTAAATTTTTTTCTGAAGTAACGTGTTTAAAAACCAAACTACATTCATCACTAGATATTCAGAACAGATAGTTTTGTGAAGACAATATTTACATCAGGTTTTTACAAACATTAAGCTACCAAAAGATGCACAGAACTATTTTTTTGTCTATTTGCTGACATAATTGCCAGCATGCATGCTCAACTGCTGTAACTGCACGAGTTTTTTCATCTAGATTTGCAGTTGAGTTTATGAAGCACCATCTACTCTTTATATAATCATTAGCACATTTTGGAATGGACATGACATCCAGATGACTAAGGAGATCAGAACTCTCAAATTATCATTTCACATTGTGACCTTTCAGGTGTGGTAAAACACTCATAACTGCAACTCAAAAACCCTTTAAAAACAGAAACAAACAAGAAACAGGGGCTTTCATTCTGAAGACTAATACTGTGTCATAAATGTCAGTTAATTACTTAAGATTCAAGTATTCAAATCCCTGAAGCAGTGTCATCAGCCTCAGTTCCAATTATTATTTAAAGAGAAGCCCTTTTTTATAGCTTAACTCAATTATAAATGCCAAGTTATTTTGAATATAAATTATTGGCAGGATATAGTATTTGAATTCTACAAAACAGATACAAACCAAAAAAGGATGGAAAAAATTAGGACACTAATCATGCAAATAATTTATTATGAATTTTAATAGTTCCGCTGACTCTCAAAGTTCAGCATGTTCATTAATATCAGATATGTTAAAACTGCATTTTAATTATAGGTTTCTTCATAGCATAAGATTTGTCAACTGAAAAAAAATAAAACTGCTTCAGTATTAATCATAAGCCATTCAGAATTTCAACATTTTTACAGTGCTTTTTAAACCACACTTGGAAGTCAAACTTCCTAAGAAGAACAGTCTGCGGTTAGGATCCAATCATCATACATAGATTCTTAAAAGCATTTAAGTGACTGAGGAACAAAAGTTCCATCGACTGAACATCTGATAGATAAGTATAACCCAATCAAAGCATTTCAACGCCGACTTGTGAGAAGTCAGTATATTGGAAGATGTTGACAATCGTACATACTATTTACTTATTAACTGCGTGTTCAAAGCTTCATTGTTCTTCTCACTGTAGGGATATTAAAAAGGTCCTTAGCTTGTCATTTTTGGAACAGGAATTGTGAAAGTTTAGCAAAGAGTCCCTTGTCAAATCTGAAATTCCACTACCAGTTTGTAAGCAAAACATCCACTTTAACAATTAAGACTAAAATGGAAGGGGCTGTCAACGTATTAATAATCTAGTTTTAAAATTCTAATAAATTACATATTTATCATGATGTGTAACTTCCAATTTCAAGAAGAATACAACATATGCAGAAGGATAATATTGTCTCCTCAATGTACAACTCCATTAAGATTAACAGAAGCTTGTGCACAGAGTAGAAGTAATTTAAGGCCGTATGTACAAAACACTGCACAGAGAAAGCAATGACCTAATTTTTTAATATATGTTTAGTTCACCAATTAAAACATCTGGAAAGCTCAACTAGTTCCCCAGTGAGCGTACAGAGATTTGAATGGTAATGTGTTCCAAGATGCTTTCTTCAATCAAACAATTACAATTATTGAGAGAGAAGATGGACTGGATGGAGAAACGTAAGAAACAGGAACTTTGAAGTTTTCTTTGGTTTTGTAACAATGCCTTCGTATGAAACCAGTGAAATAACCGTATGCACAAATACAGACTGGGGAATGACTACCTAAAGCTATACTGTGGAGAAGGTCCTTGGCGTTACGGTGGACCATAAGCTGAATAAAGCCAATATTATGCTCTTGTTGGAAGGGAGAAAAGAAAAGCCAACAGCATTCTGGGTGGTATTAATTGGGAGTATTACTTGCAAATCCAGGGAAGTGATTCTTGCACTGTGAGAGCAACAAAATGATCAGGGGCCTGAGAAGCAGAACTTAAAAGGAAAGGCTGAAAGAACCAGAGTTATTTAGCCTGTAGAAGAGAAGACTGAGGGGGGATTTGTTAACAATTTTCAAATACCTGAAGGGCAATATTAGAGAGGGTGGAGATGGGCTTTCCTCTGGCGCTGTAAGGAACAGAACTAGGAGCAATGGCCTCAAGCTGCAGCATGGGAAATTTAAGTTAGAGATTAGGAGGAGCTTTGTGACTATGATGGTGGTCAAGCAATTGGAACAACCTACCTAGAGAAGTTGTGGAATCTTCATTCTTGGAACCTTTCAAGAGCAGGTTGGACAGACTTAGCTGGGATGGTTTAGTCAGGAATGATCCTTCTTTATCAAGGGGACTCGACTAGATGACCTTGTAAGTTTCCTTCCAGCCCTACTTTCCTATGATCAGGAATACCATCACTATGTGCACAATTTCGCAATCTTCGACAGAACCCAGCAGCCGAAAGAATACTGCCATTGCAGGAAGTTCTTTTTTTCTTTTTCTTTTTTAAAGTATCCAGCCTCATGCTGTCTGGCAATAACTAGAACTAGGCAGGTGGCAAACTCTTTTAAAAAACAAAAATTCATCTGCTAAATTAAAAACACTGTTCTTCAAACAAGTGTTTGAGCTCATTTGTTATCTCAAAAACCTAGTAAGAAGCTTACCAGTAGGTATTTTACATTTCAGTATACTCTTGGAAAAATGCAAAGCTATTGCCTGAAGCACATACCTATTTTTATAAACAATGCAGAAAATTTGTTCAAGTACTCAAAGCTACCACATGCTGATAAAAACAGTAATATTTTAGAGTTTGGCAGAACATCTGTTTAAGGGGACAATGCTGCCAAGCCAACCATCACCAATGGAAGCAGAATTTAAAAAAAACTAACTACATGACTTTTTTTTTAAACACTCAGAAGTGTTCTGAAACCAAACTCACATATTTCAAATGACCTTTAAGATTATTTCTTAACATGTAATCAATATGCATTAAAAAAATCTTGAATCCAAAACCTCTTACCTGCAAGACAGATGTTTTTTTTCTTAACAAGTAGCAGAAGCCAAGCCAATCCTGTGGGCAACCAATTAAAACCAACTTTTAGACTGCAATAAAGAATAAATGGAGGCAAAAATCAATGCAGGCAACACAACAGAGGTGACAGTCCACAATGAACTGTATATTTAGAAAGTTCAAGTGTGAGACCACCACAAGGCACTGCAACATACAGCAACCACAAGAATAAGATTTTTAAAAAGTTTAATATAGCCATTCCTTACACCAGTGTCACATTTTGATAACTGCATTGTTTAGTTTTATTTTGATCATTCTAAAATCATGACTATGCCTTATTGGAACATAAGTTATACGTAAGTTAAAAAATCAGAAGACAGGATTTAACAAACATCATTTTTTCCCCAGAAAAGGGAATTAGTTATCATCTCATTTTAAAGGCAACGGTTATACACCTCCCCCCACTTCCTCAATGCTGGATCAAATCCTAAACTTTTGGGTTAGAACAGAAATTAGTGTTAGTAACCACAGTTTTACTAACACTATCAGGACAACTGCTTCTTAATTCTGCACCTACCTATTCAATTTGAGCAAAATACTACCTTAAATTGCTAAGGAAAATCTCTGAAAACTACATACACCAACATCCTCCAAATGAGCCAACAAAACCTATTCTAGTCCAGTTACACCTCACAGAGACTTTACAATACCCTCACTTCCACACAGCATTATGAAAATTGTCTACTGTGAACCCATGTATCTGCAGTCTACTGCCCTATAAATACACCAAGAAATTAAATTTTTAACTTAAACTTACTACAATTCTATCCCAGGCATCACAAGAATGAGCAAGAAAGCCAAGATCTCTCTACTGAAATGTTAATCTGTATTTGTGCCTGGAAAACACCACAGCAAATAACTGGTTTGCTTGAGGATGGAATCTCTCAAACTATATTTGTCTCTCTGGAAAATTCCCTACAGAAAGGTCACATAACTAGCAAATAAGACAGACACGATCAGGAAAATTATGAATCAAGATTCTTAATGTTAACAGAGGTAGTGTCTGTTACAAAGGGTTATCAACAACTTTTATCTATGAACTGCTTTAAAGGAAACCACAAAGCTTACAATCCATATGGAATTCTCTATTAAGAGAGAAAATGAGCATAGTGATTCCTAAAAATCTTTTGAAAAAGTAGGATTCCAGGTCTATATACAAGAAAAATGCAACTGAAACCTCGCCTTTGATAAAAGTGCCAAAGACAGTTTTAAGACTGAACAACCTCCAAGTAGAATTCTCTGCTTCTAATCTAGCCCCATTGCAAATAAGAATTCACAATACAAAACTATGCAACCCTCTTAAGTATAGCTTTCACACAATTTTATCCATTTGATAACAGCTTTCATATACATAGAACATTTCACCAAAAAAATTCTCAAGTTACTCAAAATATTTCCCGTTTAGAGGCCGAGTAGTATATACTTGTCTAGAAACTTTAAAAAAAAGACATAATACGCTAAAATCCATGTTTTGTATATCTGCATTAGACTACAAAATGCCATCATAATATGCAAAATTACACAACTTTCTTCAAAAAAATTAAAAAATGAAAAGCTACAGTCCACTATATTTCAACTTCACATAGCATCACGTACCACCAGTCGCATTATACTTTACACAAACAAGTTAAAACTTAACTGAAAAAATATTTTAAAACACACAAATTTCTTTAGGTATGTACCAACATCCTTTCACTCCAATTCAGTGCTCAGGAACATATCACCTATAGTCACATAGCCAAATAGAGTATAAAGTGGGTATACTGCTTTCCCATACAGCACTGACAATATACTTCAATTCTGACCATAGATGCATGCCTTTATTGAAGAGATTCAACCACTAAAGTTCTCCAGTGGCAAGGAAAAGCACACATAGTAGACTAGGTGTTTTGTTGACTGGGATGAAATATAAGTTGTTCTGATCTAAAGAGATTTTCTATGTGGGGACTGCCGATCTATTTACCCAACCCAAGCGCTTGAAGGTGAACCATGATATACAAGTCTGCAAGACAATACAAGAACTAAAACAATGATTTAGTCTCACAGGAAAACATTTTAGACAGAATTTAGGATAATGTGCTTCAGAGATCATAACTGCATCTAGACTTTTATCAGCCCTAACCACCCCCTGGCCGCCACAGCAATACCCAGCTTACAACACCACAATTAACTGATTATATACACTAACCTTTTATTTGCTATCACTACACATGCTCTAAATATAATTATATTGGGGGGCAGATTTCCTGGTAAAGGAGACAGTTACCCTATAAAAACCTGTTTCCTTCCTATTTCTTATAGCATTCCCAGAAAAAGAAGAGATATGGGCATACTTTACCAGCCTTTCCAAATAAGCTCTACTTTGCACCAAAAGCACACCTTCACGCTGACATCGCTCCAAAACAGGAGTCTCTTTATGCCAACACCACCACTGTGGGTGGGCGCACACAGTGAAAGATGTGCGCAACTGTCCAGAGCCACTAGCAAGACTGAGTAACCCCACCATGTCTCTACAAGGGGCTGCATGGATTTCTTTCAGCACTTGCTACCCCCGAGCTGCAGAGCTAGACCCACCAGGAAGACTCAGAGCGGGGCGCCGCATTCCTCGAGACAAGACAAACGCGCCAACTAATGAAGCATTCACTGTCAGCCAGACACAGGCCGCTCACAGGCCACACATCCTACAAGGAGCTATGGCCCGAGTATGCGTCCTTGCAGCTTTAAACCAGATCCAGCCCCGCCACGGCTCGTGATTCGCCCGAGTCGGAC